TATATATATATATATATATATAAAACTTAACAATGATTTCTCGTAAAATTAATTGGTACATGAAGAACTTTGGTAATGAAGTACAATAAGCATTAAACGACAAATTCTTTGAAGTAAATTCCTAGTTTATTATTATTATTATTATTATAAATCAATGCAAATTTTAAACATGTTAAAATATTTTTATATAATTTAAAAAAAAATTGTCCAACCTGTCGGTTTGATTTTTATTATCTTGTAGTCTGATTTCTAATTTAGCAACTAGACTTTATGTTATGACCGAATCGATCTACAATTTAGGATTTTGGGTAAAACTATGAACTTCTTTTTGTGCAGATGCTCGTGCCATTCACACTCTTGACTGTAGACCAACTCATTAATTATTTGAAACAAAAATAAATATAAATAATAATAATAATGGTAATAATAAATAAATAAATAAATAAATATGATCCTAGTTCTTGTGGTATAAAACAATGGGTATCGAGTCAAAGTGTCAAAGGCACACGCATAATAATCTCAACTCGCACCTCAATCCACGACGATGACAACGGCCACTAACATTAAAATATACATTTTTTTTTGCTGAGAATTAATGAAATACTATTTCTATTTCTCTACCCTATTTTTCTGCCTTTTCCAGGATCACAAGTGGACCAATACCAACTCAACCCCAATATCACCTTCCAATTCTCCATGAATAAATACGACATCTACGATATTTTAATTAATTTCTTTATTTATAAAGTAAATAAAATCTCAAATATGTTTCATATTTATAAAAATTTAAATAAAAAAAAAAAAAAGAAGAATGAAGTGCATTTATTTTCATCTGACACTTTTCTTTTGTAAGAGAATAAAAGAAACTATCGCATGAAAAGGTAACATTATTCTTCTGAATTACCGTCATTGCAACCATCAATCATTTTATCTTGTGGGTTCGGCAATGACACGTGTCGTCACGTTATCTCAAGGACGATGATGTCACTGAGCAGCCGCCATTGCGCAACCATAATTCGAAAGATGCTGGACCAGGATTTAAAGAAACGACAAAAGCGTCTCACATCTCGTTGATTTTAATAAAGTTGAAAAATAAAATATCAGTTCTATACATATATATAACTAGAAGAAGTAAATGTATGAAAATCTATTATTCAAAATTAATCACTAATAAAATTATTGTTTTTAAATATAAAAATTAATGAAAACATATTAAAAGACTTAGTTTTAAAAAATATGTCTAATCAGTAAAGTTTTAATAATTTTATAATGTTGACTTCGTGTCATGAGCAACGCAAATTAAAGATACATTCGTTATTATTAAGGTTAATGAATTTTATATGAACAAAACTAATAGATATTTCACACTATTAATAAAATTAAAAATAAAGTAGAAAGGTGGAAGTGTGAGCATAATATCCCAATTCTATTGGGCCCTTCTTTTTCTCTCCGAAGATGTGGCTAGCCATCACCACTTCCACATTGCTTCTCTCACTTTACGTGGACCCCACTTGGAAAATCTTGAACTCATCTCTTCACATTCATACCCCCTTGCCCTCTCAACCTAATCCTCTCCCACATGGCGACAAATTTCACGCAACCATAAAATGCCCTCCCTTCTCCCCACCCCAAAAATTTCAACCCTCTCTTTCCC